GCCTCCACCTCCTGCTCCTCCCCCGGCTCTAACTCCCGCTCTGGCTCCTGGCTCCTGGCTCTGACCCCTGCCCCAGCTCCAACTCCCGCTCTGGCTCCCAGCTCCAACCCCTGCCTAGACTTCAGCTGAGACCCCTTTCTTGATTCCCAGTTTTGCTCCCTCTCTAGCCCCGTCTACTCATGGCTCTGGCTCTGCTCCAGCCCTTGGCTTGCCTCCTGGCTCTAGCACCAACGCCTTTGTTTCTTGCTCTAGCCTTTCACACTATTCCTAACCTCTGATCACCACTGCTGTGACCATTAGTCCACGCTGCCGCCGTGCTGCTTGCTGTTGTAAGCAGGGCCTGAAGGAGGGCCTCCCTGGCAGTTTGCTGGGAGGGGAGAGCGGTGGGGGTGTTTATTTAAATACAGTGCGCTCCTACTGTCTCCACATTCAGCAGATACAGCTGAGTGTGAGCCCAGCTCTGGCTCGAGCTGGTACAAATCCCTCAGTCCCAAATGCAGGGGAGCGATCTATGGTTCCCAGGGCTGTAGTGACTGAGCACAGAACCTCAGGGCTGTACTTAGTGTGTCCCAAAGCAGGGGGAGGCATCGAAAGAACCTGTGTAAGCAAAGGGTTCGACTGGCAGAGGCCTGTGAAAGGGGAGAGTGTGTGGGAGGGGGAGTGTCCCCAGCCAGGAGGCTGTACATCCTCAGCAAGGGTCTTCGCTAAGGCCTTGTCTGCACTGGCCCATTTTGCCACCCAAAACCGGCCCTTTGGCATTAAACAGTGAGAGCGTTTACCCTGCAAAGCGACATGGGCTGAGAAAAACACCCAGTCTTGGCAACAAAAAACTTCCACCCCAGGAGAGACTTTTCTCTTTTCCTTTCCCTTTATTGTCGCCAAAGAGCAGGGTGGACTCTGCTGTTTGTTTTGCGGAGAGAAGTGGCTTCTGCCTCAGGATCCCCCAATGCCTGCCCTGGTGGCTGTGCTCAGTGTTTTGTGATCTCTGCTGCCCTGCAGGCCTGCACCCCTCCCCTTTCAAAGCTCCAGGGCGCATCTGACAGCTGAGTGAGCGGCTCCCTTTGGGGAACAAAGAGAAAATCACTGCAATGCTCCCGTTCTTCCCTGCACTAGGAACCCGGCGGTGGGCAGGCTGCTGCTGCAGGGGAAGGGCTGGGGAGGTTGCTGTGCTGCTTGGATATTCCTCAGCCCAGAGAGCATCCCAAGAAGTGCAGGGATCAGCTCTGCCTTCCCTCCACACTGCACTGTGGGATGCTTACCCACAATGCTTTGCTCTACCTGTCATCAGGGTGTTAGCAATGTGGCCGCGAACTGTCAACAATGGGAGGCAGAAAGAACGGTTTGACCCGTTTTCACTTGTCACGATATTTGCACGTCAGCATCACTTTCCTTGTGTAGCCAAACCTTCCCCGTGTAGACGGAGCCCAAGGCTGGTTCAGCCTGTTTCTCCCGTCTCTTCCCGGACTAGCGCTAAAAGGACTTCCTTCGGAGCCCCTCTGTGTTCCTTTGAATTGCTCAGTCAGAGCTGAAACCAGCTGGGAAAGGGCTGAGCAGCGCAATGAGCAGCCAGCCAGGGGGCTGGTGGAGAGGCAGGACGTGCAGCCAGCAGCGGGCGACAGAGAGGGGTGGTGAGAGCAGCCAGCAATAGCAGGGAGCAGGAGCCCAGCAGGGGGGCTGGCGGAAAGGCGGTAGCCAAGCGCCTGAGCAGTGGAGGGAGGAAGGCTCTTTACCCCCAGCACCGCCCAGGGCGGGAGGGGAGCTCTGCGGCTGTGCTGACCAAGGGCAGCGCCTGCGAGGGGTGCGCAGAAGGGCTGGCCTGCGGGGAGGACGTTACAGGTGCTGCACTTAAGACCCGGAGAGGAAAAGGGCACTAGCCATCACACGTGGGGAGGGGCTCTTGTGCGTGGTTCCTGGGAGGAGCCCCCTGTGTGGTGCTTTCCCAAATTAATGCCAAGTTATTTGCCCTCCTTCTGTTAACAGGGGGGTCTGCGATGCTCAGACTCGGTGCTTGCCTCTCAGCGGCGCCCAGGGTGGCGTGTACGGTTCCCAGGTCACTGGCGGGGGCGTGAGCCACTTGCAGGTTGGCTGGGTGGAAAGGAATCACCAGACATTGAACCTGGCCCTTGCTGCCACTGGCAGGAGACCATGTGACCTTAGTGACCAATCACAGATTTGACCAAGAAGTCAGGAGGTCTACTTGCATGAGTAAGAAACGTAATGTGATTCAAAGTCACAGACCTACCCTGGCCCGTGCTGGCTCAACCCACAGCACAACCGAAGAAATAAAGAAATAGACAAAGAAGGGAAGAGAGCCGGAGACTGAATCAAAACGCTGAGGTGGCACGGGAACAGTGGGAAACACACTCAGGCAGCTGGCCGAGCAAAGGCATTCAGAGGGCAGGCATCCGACGAGAGAACCAGTGGGAAAGAGACTGAAAGCAACCGAGAGCCGATCGCTGCACTACACTGATAGCTGGGAGGCCCAAAAGTGGGGCTGACTGAATCTAAAGCATTGCCAGGCATTGTATTTTGTTTGGGATATGGTCATTGCTCACAATACGCACCGGACAGAGCGAGGATAAAGAACTTCCTGGTGTTTAGGGTCTGGATGTGTGTGTGAAAGGCCGATTGATACACACACACACACACACACACACACACACACAACCAGTGACACTGTTCTAACAGTGACAACATCCTACCATTGTGACAAGCGACAACATACCATGTTAGTAAAAACAACCCACATTCTGTGGGGCTCATCGATCGCCCACGGCAGATTAAGATGCACCGTTCCCAGGGGGAGGCAGATGTATCCCAGCTTGGCACAGGCCGTGGGAAAGGGCTCAGCGCATGGCCCAAGCAGTGGCATTACCTGAGCAAATCAGTAGCATTTAAATGATTTCAAAGCGAAAGGCCCTGGGCCCTGCTGGGGGGCAGGAGAGGGCACTGGAGCAGCAGGGGCTCTGCCTTTCCCTTGCTGGACCAATTATCGGCAGTTAGGAGGACGGAGCCCGCGGAGAAAAGCTGAGCCGCTTGGCAGCTGAGCAAAGGAGCGGGCAGCTCTTTGGCACGGAAGCGCTGCGCTGTGTCCCAGCTGTGGTCAGCAAGTTACAGAACAAGCAGCAAGCGCCAGGCTCCCCAGGGCTTCATCTCGAATTGCATAAGGGTGGGGGAGGTTGTCCCAGTCTCTCTGGTTATGCACTGAATAGCAAACAGCTTCATTCCAGCCGGGGACCTGCCTTTGAGTGGGGCAGGACGGCTGCCTGGCCTCTCTAGCTGCGCCCCACTGCTTGTGCCATTTACAAGGCACCTTCGTCCAGCCCCAAGGACTCATCTGCTCTGCAAAATGAGCTGGGGTTACAATTGCAGTGTTGGCCTTAGCTCAGGTCCCCTTCAAACTCGGGCTGTCAGCGTAGCCATGGCAGGGGTCAGCCCGTGAGCATCAGCTTATTGGTTTGGCTGCCTGGCCTCTCTAGCTGCGCCCCACTGCTTGTGCCATTTACAAGGCACCTTCGTCCAGCCCCAAGGACTCATCTGCTCTGCAAAATGAGCTGGGGTTACAATTGCAGTGTTGGCCTTAGCTCAGGTCCCCTTCAAACTCGGGCTGTCAGCGTAGCCATGGCAGGGGTCAGCCCGTGAGCATCAGCTTATTGGTTTGCGTTACG